CTAAGGCGAGGGAAAATTGTGCCGCTAATAATGATACTATCGGCTAGATACAATATGCCACAGTAGATGGTGTTACTGCGAATCTTTAATCTAATATGGTATGTCATGGAGTTTAACAATATTTATTAAATTAAGATTGCTTTAGGTCTTAAGCCTTGCTTGGTGAATATTTTGAAAATAAAACATTTGGAAGATAAGAAACACTATAGTATCAGGTCGAAATTACATTATTTTCGCAAAAAAAAATTTCCAATATCATGGTACTGAAATAAAAGAAGACAGAAGGAAAAAATTTAAAGACAAAAAAATCAGACACCTGAAGCCAATGAAAAACTGGTATATGGTGTAACGTTCAGGTTTACTAAAGAATATCGTCTACTTAATGGGGAACGCACTCGATGATCTATCAGGACATTAATGTCAAACCTAACAGACTAAGAACTCGATAAAAAGTTTATAAAATATATTTACAATTAACTAAAACTAGTTACCTCAGAATCCCAAGAACTAGCAGAACCTGATCTGAGATCGATACCTTTAGCTGGTTGAAAGTCTTGTATAGTGTAAATTGTAGGTGGATTATTAGAAAGACTGACGCGCTTCTCGCCAACGGACGCACGTCGTCTCCTCTGCCATAATTCTTCAGATTCTGACATATTTTTGGGTTTCTCAATTGAACAACCGTTCTTCCGACTAAATTCATTATTTTTGAGTGCATGCCGCTTGCGCTGGTCATCCTCTTTATCAGCTTCAGATATTTGCCGTGAAAGTGCATGCAATATAACGTTCAAACATGATAAAAGTCCTCGTATTTCCTTCGACTTGCTTCGGCATAATTCATGTAGTGCATTTCGGCCGTCCTACAAAGATAAAGATCGATTTAAAGAAAATAAGCTTAAAGTAAAGAAAAAATATTTAAAGGCTATAGAAATAGGCTTATGTGTACCATAAAAAGGAAGTAAAACAGGAGAAAACAGACTCTAAACTAATCATATTTTAAAAGCGCCAAACTGAAGGCTCTCCAACCTTAGGCGATGAAGATGTAGTACTCTCGTTGGGGCTAAAGGGGAAACATTTGTTAACTATATATAAGCACTGCTAGGAAATGTAAATAATTACATACATAATTCCAAAGGAAAAGTTAAATTGTATTCCTGTTTACCGTCGGCAATCAGACCTTAATGTTACCTTACTCAAAAATGATGAAAATAAAAACGAATATAAAGGAATACAAACAATAATTTTTTTGCTATCCGTGAATACGATCTTTGAGAAATGTCAATGGCGCGGGCATGTAAAGGGCAACAGAGCATATTTTTTATTCTACTTGAGAAATGAATCAAGGGAGAAGCAAAGTAAAGCAGACAATATCATACTAATTATTGACTTTATAAGATGA